ATTATTGAGAGTAGAAATGTTTGTAATATGGTGCTTGATATTATTTAAGCATTTTGAAACTAGTTTGGGTCTTGAATTTAATAAACCCAAAACACTTGTATGGAATGACGAGTTTGTCGATAATGATCTTGGTAATGAAATATGGGAAATTATTGATTACTGTAGTGGTTATGGTGTTGGTCAGTTTTTTAATAACTTATTATAATTATCAGAGAAATGGGTTGAAAGTATAGAAAGTATTTGAAATCATGGAAAAGAGAATTTGATTTAAAAGTAGGACCCGGATAACTTAATTTTGTTTAATATTATAAATTACAATTAATAACCTCTTTCTCTCTCTCAACAGAATTTCTGCGCAACCCATGGATGCCTTGTATTAGTTCACCAAATAATATGCAATTCCTGAACAATACGGTCTCTCTATTTGTTTGGGCCGGTAATGGCACCCAACCCACACCCGCACCCACACAATCACACAATAAGCCACTATTCACAACGGCTACGGTATCTCTTAAAGTGAACTCGAGTGCCAATCGGGTGGAGATTAGGGCTGCACTACCGCAAGCCGTTACCCTGTACCCATTTGTATATTTTAACGCATTAGCTTCAAGCATTAGAGTGGAGACATTAGATATGATTACCAAATTCGGGGAGCAATCTATCTGTTCAAAAAATGAAAACATACGGAAATCACTAAAACAGGTCCTTAAGAACGACCTTGCTCAATTTCATACGTACGCCATCGAGTGGAATGATACTCATTATGAGTGGAGTTTCGATAATAAATACTCGTATGTTATTCATTATGGCCAGGGCAATAGAAAGCCTTATACAAAATATTTGATTTTCGATGTGAGTGTAGACAAACTTTATGGCCAATTGTTGTCCACAAATGATTACCTGAAGTGGAAGTGTTCGGCACTTATCATAGATTATGTTTGGGTCTATCGATGGGCTGACAATAATACCGACCCTTCAGATAATAATACACTACATGACAGTCCGGCCATCGCTTCCGACATTTGTGAGGCTATTATGAATGATATCAGAAGATCGGATCAAATGCCTGATGAACTCAATGATGAATACCTTTTAAATAATACCTCAACGCAAGTGACAAATACTGAGACATCGACTCCCGTGGTATTAATGGTTGCGGTGATAATCAGTTTGATTTTAGTGGTTACTCTTATATCTGCCCTAATATTCATGTATCGCAGACATAGAACACAGAAACAGATAAACCGGGACATAGTTTTAGACATTTATGATGACAACCGTATGGATGACTACGAAGAGTGTGACTATAATATTGACCACAAATACGAAGACCCATATGTGGAATCGGATGGCAATCATAGATATCTGGAAATGACCAATAGATACAAACATATTTAACATTATTATTTAAAAACATAAAAATACTTAATATAATAACTGAAAATATAAAAATATTTGGTTTATTATAAATTATATTTACAGAATTTATTTTAACAAATAATTCTCAATTTAATACAATAAAAGATATCCGGAAATTACTAATAGATACACTCATATGAATGCATCCAATGATAATATTACCTTGTTTAATACCAATAAATCTCAGTAAAATTAATTTTTATTAATAAACTGTTTCAGGATATTTCAAAAGTATTAATATTATGCGTATAAATCAATAATTGTTTTTAACATTCTCATGTCAAATACAGTACTGTATTGGCAATATTTTATTAAAAATATTTTATTTTATAAATCAATGTATTATTATTAGCTTCTATTATTAGGACATTTTAGAAATCTTAAAATAAATAATTATTTCCGAATTATATAAAATAATAATAAACCTAAATTTCTTATATATGTTTAATGTATTTAATTTGTGTAATTACATTATATGGAATGATCTTAAATTTTAATTGATAAGTGTTGGTAATTATTGTTAAATTAAAATAAAAACAAAAGCTATATATATATATTGCTATAATAATAAATAAATTTATTTTTTATTGTATAATAAAAGGCAACTCATAATTATATAATTTTTAAAATTATTTTATACAGGATATAATACCATAAATATCATTTAATTATATTTATATATTTGGAATTTATTCTACATACAGTATAGTTTGCCAGGTATAATTGTAGTATTAATTAATAATAATATGTTAAGAATATTCAAATAATTCAAAATTCAATAAATATGTTTTTATTAATTTTAATACCTACTATATACTATATGTGTGTCTGTCAATAAAAAGAGGTTTTGTTTTTTCACATTAAGACTGTAACTCATAGCACATACACAACACATTCAATGAAGTTTTGCACAAAAGTTAGTTACAAATATAATTTATTTGAACCACAATTAAATCAATATTTAAAATTTTGACAAATAATTAGTATTAACATTTACTATTAGACAAATTATTTAACTTATTTATATAACTAGTAATCATAATTTTATAATTAAAACACAACTAAATTATTGTAATTGTTTTGTGCAAAACTTCATTGAATGTGTTGTGTATGTGATATGTGGCAGTGAAAGTTGAAGGGAACTCTGTACTTTTAATGATTAATATTAGTAATGATCAAGGTTTATTGGAAAACCCAAAACACAATAAAATATAAAATGAAAGCATTTAATGCAAATTATGTTAAAACAATTAATGTAAACAATAATAAAAACCAAAAATTATATTTTATATTTAAGTTTTTATAATGGATCGCATATTTTATAAAAAAGTAATACAAATTTCAAATGGAAAGCCTAACAAATATACTCCAATTGATGTGATTAATAATGATTTGTTGGAAAAAAGTGATGAAAAAGGATTGAAACGAAAACATCCTATTAGTTGGAAACAAAATCAAAGGAAATTTCGAAAAAATTCAGTAATTATTAAATCTATAAATTAAATATACATGGTTATTAATTATGTTTTTTAGCATAATGAATACACTGATTGCAAAGGAATTAAACAAAATGAAAAGCCCTTTAAAGTCGTTAATAATTGCTTTAAAAATAATTGCTTCAAAAGTATATCAATTGAATCACAAAAAGACTCGTATATAAGTAATTTTATAATCATTTAAATATTTTGTTATATTAACTAAATTTAAATATATATATATAAAATAGGTTTTGTGCGCTAAGTACCTGGGAATACCAGGGTGAATTTTTGTCAAAACTTATGGAAAGGATTGCCAGTGAAAGTACACAAAATGTTTGGACATATTTTTATCAAGAAAATATTTCAAAATTAAAGCAAAAAGTTTGTCAAAAGTTTTTAACACAATTATACCAATTTTCTCGCAAAAGATTTGTAAATTTACAATACAAAATATTAAATGATTTAAAAATTACTGATAATAGGGGTACAAATCTTAGCAATATAATTGATACAAATATTTGGGAAAATTTGACTGAATTTTTAAAACAAATACCAAGCAAATTATCTCATTATAACTCAAAATCAAATAAATTAGTTTTTTGTGATTCAACATTAGATTGTAAAAAATTGTTTGAAATGTTCAAAACGTCTTATTTTGATATCAATAATGAAATGTTAAATATAAGTTACAATTCATTTAATAACTATTTTAAAAGTAATTATAACTATAAGTTTAAACCTTTCCAATTAGATGTTTGCAATTTATGTTCAATTTATGCTAAAAACCCTATTAATACAAATGAATATGAATTACACATTAAACGTGTTACTGAAATTAGGCAAATTAAGCAATATTTTTAAAAATGTGATAAATCATTAGTATTTGAATTTGATTATTGCTCAAATAAACCATTTCCAAAACTTAATGCAATTAACTTTTATTATAAGAGATCGTTATTTCTATATTTATTTAACATTTATATTCATAATACTAAATTCAATTTTATTTATGATTCAATTGAAGGACTTTATAAGAAAGGTCCTAACAGTGTGTGTACCTATTTATATAATGCAATTAATTTTTTGAGTTATAACATGAATTTAGATAAATTTAGATAATTTTGTATTTATTAGTGACAGTTGCGGTGGTCAAAACAAAAACTCAATTTTTGTTAAATTTTCTTTATTTATTGCAATTGTATTTGAAATTAATATCACACATATTTTCCCATGTGTTGGTCACTCATACAGTATATGTGATACAAACTTCGGTATATTAAGTCAAAAGTTTAAAAAATTACCAGAAATACAAACACAACATGATTATTTGAATGTAATTAATGAAAGCAATAAATTTTCATTAAAACATTGTGATGTGTTAAATTTTGACAAATTGCTTGATATACATTTAAATTATGATAAAAGTATTAAATTAATGAAAATGATAAGAATTTATTATTTTCCAAATGATGATGTTATTTTTTCAAACGATTATAATATTGGTTGTAAAAGGGTTAACTTAATTAAATCACATGTAAATATTATTAAGAGTTGTATCAAAAATATTGAAAATGATGTCAAACATTTTCTAAAGTATGATAAAATTAAAGATATTGTAAGTTTATTACATTTTATTGATTTAGATAAAAGGGATACTTTAATTAAATTAATTACTTGAAAAGTTTGGATACAAATATTGTAATTTATATGAAAAATAATAGATATTATTTGAAATGATTTTCAATTAAATATATTTTTGTGAAAATTTATTATTAAAATGTTTGTATACTATAATTACACATTAAAAGTAAGAGTTCCCTTCAACTTTCACTGGCACATATAATGTCTGCACTCTATTTGCTTATGAATATAACACACAATACTTTTCGGAAATAATCTGTAATTCGAAACATTGTATAAACTTTTTATTTATATTTTTAAAGTTAAATATTTTAAGTCATAAAAATGATTTTATTATCAAAATTGATTCATTTATTAATTATGAATTTATGGGAATACTCTCTAACTTTCCGTCAATTCCTTCATATTTTGCATTAAAATATTCCGCAAAAAACTTGTAATCATTTTGTTGAATGAGTTTTAGTGTGGATTCAAATGTGGGATCATTTTCGAGACAATTCCTATGAATAGACCATAAGTTATATTCCGACAATACTTGACCACAAGTAGGTCTGACAGTCGGGTCTAAGGATAACATGGCTTTTAATTCTCGTTTCAATTCAATTACACATTTGTTGAACATTTCATTATCTGATGAATACTTCTGTGAACTACTTCTGAATATAGAAATAATTTTTAATTAATATAATCATAAATGTATGCATTACTGACCGCATTAGGTCCTCCAAATCAAAACCAAAAATCTCTTCAGTATTTATGGCCAAAGTGTAGACATCACTCTTGGGCTCATTTGACTCACCCCTACGCACTTCCGGTGCCTCATGTGTCGGGTTATTTACTGTTGATATAGATTTGCGAAGAGTTTCCGACCCAAAGTCAGCTACTTTGAAAAACCTGCCATTCCTTACATTTCTGGCCAGTAATATATTTCCGGAGTGAAGGTCTCTATGAATGACCGGAGGATTCAATTCATGTAAATATTGAACGCATTCTAAGATCTCTTTGAATATATGACACGAAATGTAAAACTCGATTGAATTCATGGGTTCTCCCGGTTGTCGACCAAATACTTGTGGTTTGTGTTGAAGAATATTCTGCAGACTATGGGAACACAACTCCATTTGAATGTAATACACATTGTTTTCAGACCATTGATCCATATATTGGACACAATATTCTGACCTAACTTTTACCAATTTTTGCATTTCTTTCATACATTTCCGGAAATTATCATAACCTGTAAGTGTATTAATTATAAATAATTTAAAATTTTACAAAACATTTTCAAATTTTTAAGATTTACAAATGCAGTATGATACATTTAAATAATGCTATAGTTATAGTAGATATATTATATCTAAACATCATTAACTTACCTTGGTATCTTATTTTCTTAACGGCATATACTTGTCCATCAGGTTTCCATTTAACAACAAATACTTCACCAAAAGCTCCCGAACCTAATGAATGCAACTCTTCGTAGAAACGGTTGTATTGATTGACTCCGGAAACAACTATAAAACAAATTATAAATCAATTCATTCATTGAATCATTGTTTTTGGTAAAACGTGATTCAAAAGTACGTACTCAGAGGGGGAGGGGAATTGCAGAATGGATTATCCCTAAGGAATGCCCCGTAAAACAATAGGAAATGTATTATTGATATAAATTTTATATAAATATATCCATTGTTTACAAAATATTAACCCCTTTGTAAACCCATTAAACATACAATTTATGTGGAGTTGACCCGAGTGTTGGAGGCGCGGGTAATATAATTGCATTATAACTACATCGAGTTATATAATTGTGTTTGCTTGTTTAAATATTTTAAAAATATATATGATAATTTAGTTAGTATTTTGAGGTTATACTTTTTATTGAAACAAAACATTGTCTGGATATTTATGTTTTTTAAAAATTAATTTTTTGAAAATACAAGGAAAATATTGAACCTTAAATTCTACGAAAACTATTTACTGTAATTGACCGTATACATACAAAATCTCGAAAATTTTTAAATCAGTTTTATATTTAGTTAGTTAATTATATAATTATAAACATGTACAAAATGAGTTAAAATTAAACACAAAATAGAAAATTTTAATTATAAACTACTTTTGAAATTATTTTGGTTTTTTGTTCATAAGAGGCTATTTATCCATGTAGTTCAATGAATTAAAGCAAGATTGGAAATATTTTGTAAAATAAATGTTTTAAAAGTTAATAAAATAGCTATCAAATAGATTATCAAATTTTCGAAATTTTGTATTTCGAGATTTTGATGTACTCCCGTTATTGACGGTTACACTATTCAACGCATCACACAGTATATGAGAGTGATAATCATGGATGTACGTACTTTGTTAATGACCCATAAAACAATTCATACCATTGTCTGATAAATCTTTTATAGAAGAAAATACTTTTTCCAAATAATCCAAACATTTTGCAATAAATTCTTGTTTTATGTTATAATTATATTCCTTATAATCAAACAAATTAATGGTTTTATGAGTCATTTGATACTCATTTGTGAAACAGTCGAAGAAATTTGTATAATTTATTTCAATTATATTATCGTTTTGATTTGCTGTAATTTCATATAATATGCCATTCATTATTGCAGTTAATAAAAACCAGCTATTCTTCTGTGAAATAATTATATTCATTTCTGTAAACCTCTTATCAGTATTTAATTCTTTTGGTGTTATTTGTATCAAATATTCGTTGTTATCAATTCTATATTCACCGCAAAAATGAATGAATCCATCGTTTGATAAGAAGCAAGTGAAGCCACCACTGGAACAGATAGTCTTAATACCAGTCATGTCTGCAATGAGTTGTGGTTTCCATATAATATCCGATGAATTGTGTCCCAAATTATACCAACTATTACGACCCCAACTAAACACTTGTCCTTCAGATGTGATGGCAAATGAACAGTATAGACTGCAATAAATGATTTTAATTTTGTGATTAGGATTAAAGTTCACTGCAACTATATCTCCTTTTCCTATATCATTGTCTGGTCCACAACCTAACTGTCCGTACATATTATCCCCCCATCCATAAACACAGCCATCACTGGTGAGAATCATTGTGTGAAAATAACCACAACTTATTTGATTAATAGTTTTATTATCAATGTATTTGCGATCAAAAGGTACCGGTTTTACGAATAAGTGATGCGGACTCTTGTGTGCCATATCTAACTGTCCCTTATCATTACGACCCCAAACATAGAGACAATTATGTTGAGTGAGTGCTAACACAAAGTCGTATCCATTGAAGAATTGTGTGATATTCTTGTGACACAATCTGTCGATCACTTGGATTTCATTGACGTATAGATTGTGTCCCAATCCAAGGGATCCCCAATAATTAGATCCTAAACCGTAAACCATGTCATCATTTGTCACAAACAGTACATTATATCCTGTCTCGTCGTCGAAAACATGAAACAATTGAATCGATTTAATAATATTTTCTTCACTTTTATGTCTATTTTCGTCGACAAGTGTTTCATATGATTAAAATACCANGGTATGTCGTTCACGAATGCCTGAGCGTGTGCTCTATAATCGTAGGGGTGGTCAGGGGAGGGGTGATCCCAATGGGGGGCATAGCGTCTACATTAGGATAACCCGACTGTCATTCGTGGACACAATCCCCGCAATGGCGTCGTTGGCATCGGCTATGGGTTTGAATACAAGACTATTGGGTCCCGAGTGGGAGTCACCTCTGTTGAGGACATCCCGGGATGTATTGCATGTTAATATGGGTTTGAAGGTTCAAGGTATTTATCTATGATTATTAATCATTGATTAAATAAATATTCTTGTGCATTTAAAAAAGTTTTTAATTATTTTTGGGGACTAACTATCGACCACTTAATGGATAATAATTTGAATGTAGATGTTATTAGAAAAATTTGACAAATATTAATTACATATTAATTAGTAAACTTAAATGATAAATAATATGATAATATAATTATTATCATAGATACTGTAGTTTTATTAAATATTTTAGTTATTTCTACAAATGGTGCTCAAAGTTTGTGTGCAAACTATACCTTAATTAAACAAATTATGGTAAATAGCATTCAATATGTTATTACAAATAAAATAATTTTTCAAATGTTTTCATATATGAATCTATTACAGGGGGTATTCATATCAAAATATTAAACTAAAAAACTTAATTGATAGGTATGTGAAAAGGGTATACTCTAGTGTTAGCGAAGTATTGATTGTATTTCATTGTAAACCAAATCCAAATAAAATGCATTTTTTCTGTCAACCAAATGATGAAGTCTTTGCCATTAGTGCCAAACCACAGACAAAACAGTCCTCCAATATATGACAT